TCATTAATAAAAATATTGAGTAATTTCAGACATAGAACAGACTCCTGTGGAACATGGCTCGATATGTGTTTCTACAATTGGATCAGGCTTTCGACATTTTTCACCATTGATTCAAATTGCTAATTAATTTAAAAAAAAAAAAAAGGGAGATAGACTGTCCTGTAGTGCAGACTTTCTGACAGCCAGAGATCAAATGCCAATTTACATTCACTGCAAATCTTCAATTAAAGATCACTTCATATATGAAAACTCTAGCAACTTATTCTGAAAATTCGCTGGGAAAATCTCTCAGGAAACCCGGCCTTAACTACAGCCACAAGGCTCCTCAGTTCCCTGAAAATGAGTGTTGTGGCGTATCCAAAGTGATCCATCCCCTAATCCATGTCAGAGTTGCACTTCCCTGGCTTTATATTCTGTGTACACATTAGTGCATATCTGGGTTTCTTGGTAAATCAAGTGTTCTCTTCGTGGGCTCAGGCTGCCACCAGCTACAGCAAACACCGCCTTGAGATGCAGATTGAGCAGCACTACAGAAGCAAGCCAGTCCTCACCACTTGGCCAGGAAAAGCTGTCTAGTGCTAACAGCAATGCCAGCAGGGGCACTTCAGTCCCAGAGTGTCCCTCAGACTCCCACAATCACCTGCAGACCTCTCAACTGCTCTTGTCACTGATGTCACTTTCCCCAAGCTCCTACTGGTAGATTTTGACCATCCTCCTCAGTTCCTTTCCCGCCTTTTTAACTGCCCTGCAGAAAATGGCAGCATGTGCTGTGTCTGGGGTTTGGCCATGCCTGCAGTGGCAGGGCAGCTATGAGTGCTGCCTCAAGAAAACCAAGACAAAGAGAACAGACTGGAGTCTACTCAGGGTTGGGGAGGGAGGGAGGAAGCAAGAAAGAAAAGAAAGAAATTGTGTAAAAACTCTGAAAATAAAACTGAATATTTGTGGATTATTTTGATAAATACCAGATCAGTCAAAATTACCTTTATTTTTTATAAAAGGTTTAACTGAACACAGGTGAAGAGGAGGATGAAAAGATATGAGAGTGCTTGTCTTTCTTTATCATCAAAATGTCTAAAAGTGTTTCATATATGTAATTTTTTCTTATGCCAAAATTTTGCATGTCTTAAGGTGACTCAGGTGTTGGTTGCAAAGATTTTAGGCACCACTGCAACATGCATGTTCATAAGAGAGCAGATTGATCTACGCCCAGAGCCAGGCAATGTGGTGGTCTGCACTATGCCACATGTTTTGGCAGAGAGTCTTGAGGCCATCACCCTAAGACAAAGACCCATTGAACAGAGTCCATGTTCTTCCAGGAAACCCACATGGGGAATTACAATCCCTTTCCAGTCCAGAGCAAGGTAGAAATAATCAGTGATTGTTGGGAACTACTATGTGCAATTACTGCTGGCCACTGCAGTCTGAATGTTTGTCCTGATGGGGCAATTCAAGTAAAATCTTCTCTCTCTCTCTCAGGAGCTCTTCACTGGCAGTCATGACGATCCTGAGAATTTACTGTGAAACAGATCCTGTCTACTCTACACTTAGCCATTCAGCTCTGGAATTGATGCTGCAAGGTACATTGATCCAGCAAAGCCTTTAAGCACAGTATTAATCTTTCAGAGTTTATTTATATTCCTAAAGTTCAACAAGTGCTAAAGGGCTTTGCTGTACTTGAGCTTGCAGCACCTTAAAAGCTCTTTAATTAGGAGCCTTCAAATCAAGGTCCCAAAGTCCTCACCACTTATCAGAGAACCAACAACCCGGGAGGCAGCCCTGGTCCTGATACAGTTCTCCTGTGTCATGAAATTGTGTGAAAATCAATGATCTGGATCCAGTGGCCTTGCCTGGGCATCTGGACTCACCCATGTGTGAGGCTCTGGACTAACCAGAAGATAAATCATGTGATCAGCAACTTTGTTGATGCATTACTCTGGGACCTCTGTCAGGAACAGATGACTAGGGGAAACACTAGTTCGGTTCAGATTAACCCAAGATATTCTGTAGCTGGGAGTAGTTTGGAGTGAAAATATGAAGACTATGCTTCTGAGTTATGAATAGGTATTTCTTCTGTGGTTTTGAACGTGCTATATGCTTGACTTAACTCCTGCAAATGCACTGATCCAAACCTCCATCTCTTGCCTCACCTCTGTCATAGACATCAAGTGCAAAAATTGGTCACCATCTGCAAACAACGGTAGCTGTTTGGGGCATAACCTATTTATTATTTACACTCTGTTAAAACCCTGATTTGGAAAGGTACAGTTTACTTGGTGAACTTTCATAGTGTTCTTAACTGAGGTATCCAAGGGCTCCACAACACTCCTTTGTTTCACATTTCTCCATGCAGTAGTCCAGGCACAAAAGAACCCATGTACTCTGACTGCCAGATTTCCTTGATTAGATTTCAAAGTTTCAGGTATTACATAGAATATAATAATACAAGGCAAAGCTACAACTGCTTGTAGAAAACTTTGTTCTAAAATTGAGACCCTAGTGCCTCCTCACAAACAACTCAACAAGCACCAAATGAATGGGAATCCATCTATGGATGAGTGAAATGATCCACCTTTAACCACCAAGCAAAGCATATAGAGGTCCCCTAGGCAGCATTCACACTCAGTCAAGACTCAGGATCAAGTCGCCAGGCTCTATCTTGCCGCCAGTCATCCCAGACTACCATATCTAGTCCCCAGCTCCCTGACAGAACTCTAGTGCTAAGATCCAGTGCCCTTTGAAACATTTTCTGCCTTATTCCTTGACCAAAAACTTGAGAGAGGAACAATTATCACAACACCATTAAAACTGCAGCATTAAATGGGGTATATGTGCCGCATCCCACTAGTTCGTGCTGTCATGGGTGATTCTGAGAGCTGCAAGGAGCAGGAAAGTCCTGAGGAGGTAGAAAGAGTAGTGGAGAGGGAAACAGAGGAGACAGATGTCTCTCTCCTTGCACCCAGGTACTAACCCTTAACATGGAGAGAAGCAAGCACAGGCCAGAACAGCTATGGATAGAAGGCAAGGGAGCCACTGCCAGACCAGGAGGAGAGTATCATCCACGTGTCCATAGTGCTCTGTGAAACCACAGGACTCTCTCTCACCTCTTCCCCCAGCCTTGTGCATTAATGGAAGTCCACCTGGAGAAGGCAATGTTGTCTGGGACAGTGCTTGCTGATAAGAGGAAGCTTCTGTTCCAGTGGCTTGCTGTATTTCCCACGTCTCCTGACATGGGGTGCATGCTTGCAGCCAGTTTTTAGGAAGGGAGTTTAGTCCAAACCAAAGCCTGCCACTGTACCAGGGAGAGTGCCTGTAGGGTGGTCCCTGCCACCTTGAGGAAGGACCTCCAAAACTGCAGAAAGAGAGAAGAAAGCAGACATCTTCTTTCTTTGTTTTTATGGCATCATCTGCAGGTCAAAGCCCAAACTGAAGTGGTTCTCTTCACTTCTTCAGGTTTGTGTGGGTTGCAGCCAAATGGCAGGTCTAGGTGTCCCTGGCTGCCACTGTGTCACCCTGCTTGAGCAAACACACCTGGCTCTTCAACTACTCTCTGGGTTTCTTGCTTCGTTTCTTATTTCAGGCAAAAAAGAGTGCCTTGGTGAAAAATATCCCTTTCTTAGCTATTTGCTATTCTTCTGTCCCATGGCAGAGTTAAGGTGAGGTTAGGTTTAGGGTCGGGGTCCCAAGCATTGTGCTTGGTGGCAGAGTTTAAAAGAGACAAAACACTATGGTCTAGATAACTGATATCTAGAGGGAAGATGGAATGACTATGTGCAGAGATCTGAACTTGTTCATAGTGGTGAATAATTAGAAGCAACATCAGAGAGGAAAGTTTGAACCTAAAAATATATTTGCCGAGAGCAAGCCTTGTCAGGCAAGGCTAGAAAATTTGGACATTGCATGCCCTTTACCAAAGCTAGGGGAGATACTTCTGTGCTGGCAAAATGTAGGTACAATTTTAAGAGGGAAAATACACTATCACAAGGACTTCTTGGACTTTCCTCAAAGGGAGAAAATACAGCTAGACACTGCTTGCTGTGAATCTGAGCTTACCTTTCATCCAGGGCATGCCTGTGTTCACTGCTCTGGCACTGGCTGTGCTATCACCCAGATATTCAACAGGTCACTCACCCACAGCCTTGGTCTCCTTTCTTCCTGTTGCTTCCAGGAAGCAGGAGCACAAAAGCACGCTTTTGCCCTCCCTGTTCCTAATGAGGAGGTTCTTGGGGCAACCAGGGGAATCTCCACTATCACTTTAGTGGCTACACTGGATTTGTACTACAGGTAAAAGTCTCCTCCACTTCCAGCAGTGTTCCATGCCAGCTATCCACACATCATTAGCTCCCTCTGAAAACCCTCCTTGATTCCAGAACATGATTTTCCACTGCATAACCACCTGCAGTGACTGCAGGGGTTCACAGTTTCCCCCCTCCCCCTCCCCCCACAAAAAAAAAAGACAGTTTGCTTTCCAAACTGGGGCAAGTCACTGTGGAAAAATATTAACAGTGTGTATCTCTTCTGTGGCCACATCTGCACAATTTTATCGTGTAATTAGACCTTGGCTCCTGCCAGTGAGGGATCTATTAGTTAAAAGCTCCTCAGACAAAGGGAAGCCTTAGTGCATAAATTAATGCAAATCAGGCCTGTGCTCTTCCCTCCCATAATGCTTGGAACTGTTATGATCTTTGTGTTGCTGCAAGAAATTAATATTCTGCTGAAGCCTGTGGACAACAAGCTGATGAGAGGGGAGACAACGGCAAGGCAGAAGACAAGTTCCAGGACCTCATCTTTACAGCCCGGATGAGAAGAAAATACTCAGAAGATAGTCTGTTTTGTGGATTGGTATTGAAACCATGTGGTGTGTCAACTTCAGTTTTAATGATATTTAAGAGACTCATGTAAATCAAAAGATGTACAGAATTTTATTAGATCCCTGAATAAAACTGAGGCAATTTTTTTCTTGTGTTCCAGTCTTTTTTCCCGTCACTAGATCTTTGTTTCCTTCCAGGTGGAGTCTGCCAAAAGTAGAGGTGATGACATAGCTCTGAAGAGCCCCTGCTTTACTATACAGGTATCAAAGTCATTAAGTCATAGGCACTTACCTGTGAGTGGTACACCTTCTGTGCAGAGCTGACAACCCTCACCTCTCCACAGGAGGCACAGAGGTTGATTTCTTCAGGGAAATTTGTGGAAGTGGGTGGAAAAGTGGGTGGAAAAGCAGGACGAGGGTTTGCACCAGCAAAGAAGCAGGCTGGGTTATGAGGAAAACAAGGACAGTATTTGGGGGGGATGCTACTTTTGAGGTGTTCAGGAAAGAGGAAATGGGAAAACGTCCCAGTGTGGGTCTGTGTCTCTGGGCTAAGTGGTGTTTGCAAGACTGAGATACCTCTCCTTTCTTGTTTTCACCTTCAGTCCAAGAGCTCACACCAGCAAGATTTAGTCTGAGCCTTCAGTATCAATGAGACTATACCCTGTGCAGAGTATTTCAAGGCATGAAAATTCCTTCTTCAGACATGCCAGGAAATGAACAAATAAACCAAATTGGAGTTGGCTCAAATCTTCTCAGCAGCATAGCAAAGTTCAACTCAGAGTCACCAGTGAGGAGCATATAGTATGCGTTACTGTTTACCCTTGGAAAAGAAGACTAGCAGGAAGAGGCAGAACTGTGAGAGAAAGAAACAGATGAAGACCTGTCATTCTTCCCGGTGTCAGGGCAGAGGGACATTTGGAAGCATTGTCTGCTACCCCCCTTCTCCCCACAGTGATTGTCACTTCCCCATGCCCTACTGCTGGCAAAGAGGTGACAAGACCGGACAGGCATGGGACAGAACAGTTCTCCTATTGCTCCCTGAAGAGTTGGGAATGTTGGAGGCAGTTACTGTGAAAAGACCTTCCCTCTGCAATGGCCACAATACAGCCATCCCAATCTTCCCTCTGCAACCACCACAGTGCTCCTAGCCTGGCTTTCCAGCCTGGGGCCACAACCATTTTGCCCACTGTGGTTCTTGACAATGGCTTATTTTACTTTGGCCTGATGTGTTCTGCAACCAGATCCTGTAAACAGGTCCTGTTCTGGTAGGGTGGCAAATGACTCTACAGCGTTCAAAGTTCTAGTAGACCCTTTGTCTTTCCCTGCAGGGTCTAAAGAAGCTTTTTTTCCATTTACTCTCTGGGTTTAGAGCAGTCTCACACAGTGTTCAAGTCCTTGAAGTTGGCTGCAGCAGGATTTCCTGAGGTTTGTTATTACCTGGCACTTGTCTCAGACAGTCCTAACCAGAATACACTGCACCACTGCAGAGCAGAGCAGTGATGATGAGTCAACCAGTTGCTGCCATGGCACTGGCTGCTACTGGTGCATTGGAGATCTGCTGTCCCTGTTCCCACATCAGGTTTTCACTGATGCTGCACCAGTGGGGACCCAGACTGGAGAAGCTTTACACAGAAGTGATGTAAAAGAGTGAATATATTAGAAGATACACAAACAGTGCAAGTCCTCTTCTTTTGTCCTTGTTCACTTAAATAATTAGTCCATTTTTGGCAATAGTAGAGAAACTCAGAGGGGTTTTGGGGGGGAATTTTTTTTTTCTTTTTGAGAGGGAGTTTACTCAAGTAAACCACTGTTTCTACTCTTCCCTGTTTGAGCCAAAAATATCCTTTCAGCTCCCATCCCTACCTTAAAAAAGAGCTGATGCCAGTCTGAAAGGGTGTTTCCTGAGCATAACCCAGGCCAGACTTGTGCCAGAGCTCAGACAGGCACACTTGGACTCACGCAGCTCCACAAACAATGCTGTAGCTAGAGGGAAGTGTCAAGTATCCCAGAAAATTGGCTCTATGGCATTTCTTGCATGTAAGTGCTAAGAAGAATTTATTTCCTTGTTTGTTTTCTTCACTGCTGCTTGGGGGATATTTACCCTTTGCTAGGCTCACACTGCTGGTCAGGAAAAGGACTCCCCAGGCAGCAGGAATTCGATGTCCGACAGTTTATCTGCAACTCTAGTCCGGCTTGCATTAATAAAGTTTGAAGATTATTTAGTACTTCCAGTCTGCTAGCCAGCTGCAGAGGGGCTCAGAAATTCAGGACAGGCTTATATTCACAGTAAAACATAATGCATGCAATAACATGTGATTTAATAAATATTTTCATCTACTTAATCTAATAAATGCAGCACATGCTGTAATGGATATGTGACCCTGGTTACTTACATTCTTCATCAACAATTTGTATAAACATCGAGATCCCAGCTGCTCAGCTGCCCTTGCTCATATTCTGGTTTCTCTCCCAGTTTTACCCTGCAAATACAGAGAAAATAAACACAATGTAACAGTGCTTTGGGCAGGAGTCTTCACCCATTTACCAATACAAAGCTCCTGTAAACGCCTGTCACTTGCCATTTCACACTCCCTTTTTTGTGGCACCAATGGAGGCTTTGCTGTCCAGGAACACAGTGGTGCAAGGGCCAGAGCAAGCAGCCAGGCAAGGCCCCATGGAAAGCTGTCTCCAGCAAGCCTACACACAAAGATGAGATGATCATGCGTGGCTGAGGGGGAAAATCGGCATCTCCCTCCAACCCCAGTCCCTTTGCTCACACCTCCAGTGACTGATACTTCAGCAAAGAGTCTGTGGCTGCAGAGTCCCTGTGGTGAACACTGAGCCATGCACGTGGTACCTGCACTGCTCCTCCTGACGCTCTTCCCACCTGGGTCCCCTACAGCCCCAGGCACAAGTACATGCCCAGTGAGTCTCCAGAGGAGAAAGCAGCTCCTGGGAGCTCTGCCACAGCTCAGCAGCTGAAGGTCAGGGCGGGCTTTTGACTTGCCCAATTAATCATTCAATTAGAGCAAACAGGTCTGGAAAGATACTCAGGAGCTCTTCTAATGCATTCCTAATCCAAAGCAATGATTGCATGCTAATCACCACTGATGCACATCTGCTCAAACTTTGTCAAAAATCTTCCAGTGATAGAGATCTTGCAACCTCCCTAGGTTTAACTGTTGTTATCAAAAGCAGTCCTTTGGCCAATCTCAACCTGCTGCAGTTCTACTCCATTATTCTTTGCTTCAGCCAGACAGAGGCCAGGTCATTGACTTCCACTTTGCAGAAATATTCTGTACCATTGCAGGTCTTTATCCTGCCCGCCCCCTGCAGCTGCTGCGAGCTGTTTGTGATGCTGGGCACAAGGGACTTGCTGACCTTCTCATTCCCTTCAGACCCCAGGTGACTGCACTCCTACTGTGATATGGTTTCTAAGTCCCTGAACCCATGCATAACTCCCCTCCTTACATATCCCAGATGAGTGGGGATTCCCATACAGCCACCAGCCTCCCTCCCATCCTGACTGTCCTTGAAGCCCACCTTGGCCCCTTACAGCTGGCTCCCAGCCTGGCTCTACCTGGCATGGAGGCAGCCCAGTGAGGATGAAGAAAAATTTGGGGTAGATTTTCTTCCCTGAGCTCCCTGCGTTGTCCTCCCCACATCCTCCCACAGCAGCACTAGCTGTAGACTCCTAACTGAACTACTCTTCCCACGACTCCCTCTCCCCTGTTCTCCCAATCTCGATTACACAGCCCCAACTCTCACGCTCGTTATGTACAGGTCATATTTTCCAGACTGCTGACCATTTTTGTTACTTTCCATTGGACTCTATCCAACTGGGCTTCCTTCTGGAAGCTCAGGGCCCTCAGCTGAGCAGAGCATCCCAGCCGGGGACTCACACATGCTGAGAAGAAAAATCACTCCATTTATCTTGTAGTCTGTAATTTGGTTCATATATCTCGGCATGGAGACGACCTGACGCCACTGACTCATGTGCTGCCTTTGATCCATTATGACCCCCAGACCTTCTCTGCAGAGTGATGTTAATGCATGTATTTTACCTCATGCAGCTGCTTATTTCTGCATAAGGTGGGAGCTCACCCCTGTCCTTGCAGAATCGCATCCTATTCTTCTCAAACTATTTCTCCAATTTGACAAGACCATTTATCAAACTCAAGCTGTATCCTCCAAAGCACTTGCAGCCTATTACAGCTGGTTGTGGTTTGCAAAGCTAATAAGCTTGTTATTTATTTTATAGACAACCATTAATAATGACCTGGCCTGGCATTTCCCTCCTGCTGACTTTCTTCCCAGAGGCCACCCTGTTCAGTCTTCATGAAGCTTTTCTGGGGAAATTGGATTTGGCCAGGCAAGAGAAAGAGGAAACAAAGCTAAACTCAGGTTATTACTTGTTTCCCACCTGAGGGCAAAAAAGGAGTAAAACATAATGCATGTCACCTGCTCCATCTCACTGGTCAGAGCCAGTTGCAAGTCACAAACATGTGTCCTTATGCTGTGGTCATGTTACATAGCCACCAAATCAAGACCACCTCCCACATGCCAGCATGTCCCAAAAAGGAGCTGAAAGATGGAAGAGGTTGGTGTATGCAGTGTCTGGGGCAAAGATTATCAACAAGCCCAGGGGAGCCCACCAAAGGGGACACTGCTGATGTCAGGGGTCAAAAGGAAAGAGCCATCAGTCCTGAAAATGGAACTGTAAAAACAAAAAAGCTCCCTGACTGCACCTTTGCTTGGACAGCTGAGGACCTAATTTACACCCACTCCAATGTCTCCCATCGATTAACTTCAAAAAGTTGCCCAACTGTCCCAGTTCCTCAGTAAACATGGCCAGTTGTCCTGTCTTGCTGCAGTGCTGAGCAGTGGCTCTCCTCACCCTGACAGCTGCTCTCAGAAGACACAGGAACAGATAGTAGTGTTGGTTGTAAAGGTTCCATTCCCCTATGTTGCTGGAGTATAAATTCATCCACTTCCAAAGCTAGGGATTGCTCTTCCAGTAGGCTGCAGATGAACTGTTGATATGCAAACCTGCTGCAGCTGCTCTCTGCCTGCTCTCTTTCTGCATGATCAGGACAGCAGAGCTCAGCAGCACAGCTCTGTCCCTGCTGTGCCCATGGATGCTTCTGGGCTAACAAAGGGATTATGTATTTTTTTCTCATGGGGCTATACCAAGGGATTTGCAAGGACATTAAAAAAAAACTCTCCTTTTCCGTGATCTCCCTTCTGCCCTTGTACGTCCA